TACATTGTCACGGATTGGGTAAAATGTGGTGAGGCTCACTTAACAGCGCTCTTGCTTAGCAACCAAAATTTTGGCTCAATTGTGGTCATACCTCAAGGACTATCTCTGCCTTCCTCTGCATGGCAGCCTTGTCCTAGTAAACCCCTTCTCCTTTCTGGCAATTTTCCTCTCTGTTAAAGGCACCAAAATAATCCAGACAATATAAGGTTTCCTGCTGGAGCAGGGGGTTGGACTAGATGGCCTCCAAGGTCCCTTCTAACCCTGCTATTCTATGATTCTGTAAGGATCTTCTGCTGGAGCAGGGGGTTGGACTAGAGGACCTCCGAGATTCCTTTCAGCCCTGAAACAGCTGTGCTGTTTCAAAGCAACTTCTGAAGTCACCTCTAGTGCCAGGGTTTGTGATCCTTCCTCTCCTTTTTCTCTCTCCCTTCCTTCCTCTCTCCCTTCATGTATCTGTCTATCCATCCATCCATGCAAGTATATGTCTTTCACTTTTACCTCCCTCCCTTTTTCTTTTTTCTTTCTTCCATACAGCTCTTAAGGCAAACCAAATACAAGTGGTCCTCACTTAATGGCCGGTTGCTTAGCAAGTGTTCTAATTTATGACTGACCTCCCCAGAGCTACTGTTTTTGGAGTTTTGACAGCCATGCACGCGCACGCGCGCACACACACACACACTTATGACCAGTTACAACATCCCACATTTTCATGTGACTGAGGTTTTCTGTTTTTTGCCAGTTTCCAACAATTCCTTCTGGTTTCTGGTTAAAAATGCCCATTGGGGAAAATTGACTTGTTTAACAACCAAAGTGTTCGCTTAATGACCACAAAGCTCACTTTACGACCACAAGGTTCACTTAAACAGCTCTCTCTCTCTTTCTCTCTCATCTCTTTCTTTGTCCCTCTCTCTTTCTCCCTCCCTCTCTGTCTCTCATCTCTCTCTCCCCCCTTTCTCTCTCTCATCTTTCTCCCTCTCTTGCTCATCTTTCTCCACCTCTCTCTGTCTCTCATCTTTTTCTTCCTCTCTCTCCCTCTCTCTGTTTCTCCCCCTCGCTTTCTCTCTCTCATCTTTCTCTCTCATTCTCTTTCTCCATCTCTCTCTGTTTCTCATCTCTCTCTTTCTCTCCCCCCCTCTTTCATGTGTGTGTGCGCGTGCAAGCCTGATAGAGGACACAGCCATCTACTTCCCCAGCACAGGAAGGGGTTTGAAACAGCGTCGTGGCCCTGAGCACCAACATCACAACTGCCCCTTCCTCTCCCCCCGCCTTGTTGCAGTCACAGTTTCTTCTTCTTTCACCCTCCCCCACGAGCTTTTCATTCCCCTTTCAGCGCCTGCAGGGCTCAAGACTTTCCCCTCTTCTCTTACCTGAGGCGCAGTCTTTAACAGAGGGGAAGCAAAAGTGACCAAACGGCACACGTCCTCCCAGAGCAGCAGCTGCTTGACTTGCCCTGACAAGTCACCTTTTTTTTCTCCCCTCGCCTTGTTTTTTTAACTTTAGAGGCAACGTATACAGGCAAAGCCCGATAGGCACATGTGCATGGGGTGTCCTGCCCCCTCCCCTCCGCTTTGTTTTTCTGCCCTCCTTTTCACTCGAAGGTCTTTGAACACATGCTGAGGAGGAGCAGGGGTGTCCGGCCCTTGTTCTCGCCGCTGCCAGAGCCACGTAGAAACAACTGCTGCCGCCACCGCCCTCCCCTCAACCTGCTGCTCAACCTCCCTCCCGCCTTCACCCAAAGCCTTGTGCCACACCAGGAGGCTGAAGTTGGAATTTCTTTTCCCCCGTTGCGTACCTTGGCAACAGGACTGTTTCTCTCTGCCTCCTTTTCCTGCCGCTTTGCTGCCCATTGCAGCTAGGAATTTCAAAGCTGATAATGAACCTTTGTATTGCATTTTGGCTCGGGTGCTACCCTGCAAATTCCATCTCTCAAGAAGCCCAGCCAAAGTTTTGTGCGCCACTCACTGAGGCGGAGGGTGGGGCTGGAGCTAATAGGTGGCCAAGCTAAGTCCCTGAAGGACCCCATCCCATCATCCGGAGTCCTGGCGCTTCAGCAAGCGAAACTTCAGCCGGGCAGACAACAGAGTTTGCAGGGGGCCTTTGCCTGCCTATCTAGTGCCCGGATAGCACAAGCATTCATTCTCGGCTTTATTTGAGACGCCTAGCTGTGATGGATAGTAAAGTCCTACTGACCCCAGCCGTGGCTTCCAGCTCTAAGCCGAAGCGGGCTTCCAGCTGGTGCAAATATACTGCGACAAAGGTGGAATAGGCAGTGCAAAGGCAAGTTGTGCTTCGCTCCTGCACAGTAAGGCTTCAGCCATTGCTAGCGCCACTTTGGCCTGCCTGTGTGTCCCCCCCCCCCAAAAAAAACTGCACATACGTGCACAGCTAAAAAACATGCCAGCAGTGGCAACCAAAGGAACCAGTTTGGGGGTGTGGCCAGCCTGGGTCGCTGCCGGTTCTGTGACCCAGGCCAAATTACCACTACCGGTTCCCCAGAACCTATGTGAACCGGTAG